GATCTCACAGAATTGCCCTACCAGAGTTGTCAGGAAGCGCCTCTCCTGCCACATTCAGCACTTTCTAGAACATGCTATTCTCTTCAAGTTCATTAGTTCATTAGGCCTCCCCTGTTGTCACACTTACCTCTCCTCTGAGTCCTTTGCTCTGTCTTAAAACAAGCTTCCCAACTTGAACTGCCTTGAAGAGTTCAAACGGAGTTCTCTGTCTACTTCCAAAGTGACCCGATCTCAGGATACAGACAAGAGCTTTGCTATTCAGGACAGATATGAACTTGTAACTAACTGGAGAGCTGGGTATGTATGCGGAAAGTGACAATCTGTCTAGCTCAAAGCTGTGTTGGTGTAAACATCCCCAGGCAGATTTAGTATATTTCCCTCATCAGTGATGTGACCCAGTTAATGTTCTCCTATATCAGCACAATTGCCCTTTGTGGCCTGGGAGAGGAAACACTACCAAGCTTTTTGTTGCTCAGCACTATTTACTTTTTAGTAGAGATATTTTCTGTTCTGAGTTTAAATTCCACTTGAGTGTTTTCTTGCTACTTCTTCTAACTAAAACATGGTGCAAAACAACTAGCTGGTGTTAGTATGGATACCTTTCTAGTATCGAGTCACTGTGGTTCAATTAAATATGGGACCCGTCCTGGTCTCCAGGTCATTCTTTTGCTGGTAATCTCACAAATGCCGTGTCTTCTCAGGGCTTGTCACTTTTCCTAACCTACATGAGGTTGTTCAAAATGTATGTGTTTAGAATTGCACAAACATACAAATCTGGAACAATCAAATCTGATTTTTAAACCAGTACATATAGTTATACTTCCCTCACACTCATTCTAAAGAGCAGCATTATTCAGTTCACTCACCAAATGTGTTACATTTTGTGCCAAGTATGACATAATTAATTGAAATCAAATCATCTGAAATCTTACCTGGAAGGAGAAAAGGTAGTAGTGTAAATTACACAAAACACAGAATGCAGAAATTTCTGAAAGGAGTCAATTATCCTGAAAGGAGACTGTTTTACTGCTGAGAGCAAAAAGAGCAGAGACCTCCCCAAGAACTGTTCTTGTGAGAAGGGATGGAAGAGAGAGAAGGGAGAAGACAATTATATAAACACTAGCGTAGTCGCATTTAAAATGTGAAAGGATGAAAAAGGTTAAAAAAAAGTCTAGCCTGCAAGCAAGGGCACCCAAGACAAATCACTCTATAAGATGCAACTAATTAGGTTGAAATTCCGACATTGCTGACTATGTGGTTCAGAGTATCGGAATTATCAAAAAGATGCCATGACCTTCTTTGACAACGTGCCAGAGGTCAAATTTGGCCAGGATGCTATCAAATAATTTAAGTACAAATAAGCTTTAAATGACCTCTAAATTCTTGCCTGCTCTGCTAACATTTTCAAAACCATTAAATAAATGTGTAGAAAAACCAATGTGAGAGCTCATATATATTTTTCTATTTAAGCCTTAAAATGTGTAACAGCCTTTACTGATGACACTGTAACTTCATACATGGATACAATGTGTAAAGAAGATGATTATGGTTGAATAATAAATTTTACATTGTTCATACAATTAATGAGAATGAGCCAGATGAATAAATGATTCTTTGGTTTGTGCATCTTTTAAAAGTACATATAATAATTCTTCCCTATACTTTTGAGAACATTTACCCATATTTCTTGCAGAAATGACTACAGGGGTTTAGGCTTTTTAAAGGAGTTACCAGGTACTAGTGCTTCTTTCACTTACATTTTCATCATCATGTCAGACCTAGACACTTAATTTTACTAAGTTTCACACCATTCCTCTTATTTTCAGTTTTGTATTGCTGATGTAAATATTCAGTGGTAGATAATTTCCAAAAGAAAGGAATTAGAAAAACAATCTCATTTACAATATCACCAAGAACAATAAAATATTTAGGAATAACTTAACAAGCAAGTGAAAGGCTTGTATACTAAAACCTCAGAACAGGAAAGAATACAAATTAATGGAAAGACATTTGTAATTACAGATTAAAAGACTCAGTAGTAAATGTCTATACTTCCTCAAGCCAGTTATAGGCTGAAAGCAACCCTTGCTGAAATCACAATAGTGATTTTTTGCAAAAGTAGGAAAAAAAAGTGTTAAAATGCATGTTAACACATGGAGAAATCCTATACCTTTAATAAAACACAATGTTGTAAACTAATTACAATTAAAATTGATTCATATGGTATTGTACAGGACCTTGAATAGCCAAAAATGATCCTGAAAAAAAGAACCAAACTGGAGGCCTCATATTTCCTGGTTTCAAAACATATTTCAAAGTTATAGTAATGAAAACTGCATAGTACAGGCATAAACATATATAGACCATTGGAACAGAGTAGAAAGCCCATTTTGGGCTCATGCATATACGGTCAACTGATCTTTGACAAGGGTGCCAAGAATACAAAATAGGGAAAGGATGCTCTCTTCAACAAATGGTGTTTGGAAAACTAATATCCACATGAAAAAGATAAACTGAAGATCTAAATATTCTAAACATAAGATCTGAATCTATAAAATCCCTAAAAGAAAGCAAGAAAAATGTTTTGTATCATTGGTCTTGGCAATGGCTTCAGGTACAGTGTGGTTTCATACATAAGGATCCCTAAATTGAAAACAGTCAAATGTGCTTCAACAGGTCAGTGGAGAAATACACTCCTAGCCACACAATGAAATACTATTCAGCAATAAAAATGAACAACCTATCTGTACTTGAAATACCATGGATACATCTCAATAGCACTATGCTAAATGAAAAAAGTCAAAGAAAAAAGGTTATAAAATTCTTCAAAAGGCAAAATAGAGTTTAAACACACAAAGGTGGGCAAGAACTAGGATCAAGAGAAGGAGACATCATCAAAAGAGCACCTATACAAAGAAAACTATAAAACACTGTTAAAAGAAATAGAAGAAGACACAAAGAAATAGAAATACATCCCCTGCTCATGGATTGGAAGAATAAACATTATTAAAATGGCCATCCTACCAAAAGCAATCTACAGATTCAATGCTATTCCAATCAAAATTTCAATGTCATTCTTCAAAGAAATAGAACAATTATTGATGAAATTCATATGGAATCACAAAAAAACCCGAATAGCCAAAGCTCTCCTGAAAAAAAAAAGAAGGGAATGGAGGCATCACACTCCCAGACTTCAAACTATACTACAAAGCCATAATCATCAAAACTGCATGGTATTGGAACAAGAACAGACATACAGACCAATGGAATCGAATAGAAAATCCAGAAATAAACCCACAGATTTATGGTCAACTAATCTTTGACAAAGGAGCAAAGACTATGCATTGGAGCAAAGAAAGTTTGTTCAATAAATGGTGCTGGGAAAACTGGGTTGCTACATGCAAAAGAATGAAGCTTGACCACTACCTCACACCATACACAAAAATCAACTCAAAATGGATTAAAGAACTAGACATAAGACCTGAAACCATAAAATACATAGAAGGAAATATAGGCGAAACACTACGGGATTTGCACATCAAAGACATCTTTACAGACACATCACCCAAAGCAGTGATAGTGAAGGCAAAGATAAACAGCTGGGACTACATCAAATTAAAGAGCTTCTGCACAGCAAAAGAGACAATAACAAAAACAAAGAGAAACCCCACCAACTGGGAGAACATTTTTGCACCCAACACTAATGATAAAGGACTGATCACAAAAATCTGCAAAGAGCTGATGAGACTCAGCAACAACAAAGAAAATAATCCAGTCAAAAAATGGGCAGAAGAGCTAAAAAGAAACTTCTCTGAAGAGGAAATGCAAATGGCCAACAGGCATATGAAAAAATGTTCAACATCACTTGTCATCAGGGAAATGCAAATCAAAACTACCATGAAATACCATCTTACACCAGTGAGAATGGCACATATTAAAAAAACTATCAACAACAAATGTTGGCGAGGTTGTGGAGAAAAAGGAACTCTCCTGCGCTGCTGGTGGGAGTGCAAACTGGTCCAACCACTATGGAGAGCTGTGTGGAGATTTCTGGACCTACTAAACATAGAGGTTCCATATGATCCAGCAATTCCACTCCTAGGTATTTACCCAAAGGACACAGAAACATCAATTCCAAAGAACACCTGCACCCCTATGTTTATAGCAGCACTGTTTACAATAGCTAAGCTTTGGAAACAGCCCAAATGCCCCAAAATAGATGACTGGATCAAGAAGATGTGGTACATATACACCATGGAATATTACTCAGCATTCAAAAAAGATAAACACATGCAATTTGCAGCAACATGGATGGCGCTGGAAGGGATCATGCTCAGCGAAATAAGCCAGAAAGAAAAAGAAAAATACCGGATGGTCTCACTCATAGCAGGGATCTAGAAAACTTAAATAAGGGACCAGGAAAATGAATAACTATAAGAAAGTGAAAATCAAAATCAACAATAAACTATGAGCCAGAGACACTTTGTGGGGGTGGGGGGTGGGAGGGGAGGGATTGGGTTCAAAATGGGGGGGTTGCAATTGTATGGGGAATATAAAAATAAAATCTATTATTAAAAAAAAATAAAAAATAAAAAGAGCACAAAGAAATTCAGTGTGTGGGGGAGAGTAGGAGGTTCTAAATCTTGCAATAGTGGTGATTACACGACTGCATACATTTGTCAAAACTCATTAAATTATAATCTCAAAATGGGTGAATTTTGGTTGGATGTTGATATCATAATAAAACTGATTTGAAACATCATGAAAGATGTACCTTGAAAGGAAGAAACTGTATGAAAGCAAGTTTCAGCAGACTTACTGCAGCTTACACTAAAACAGAGCAAAATAACTTCAAGATCCTGAAGAAATTTTGATATAAAAATGCCCATGGATTTTCACTTTACCTTACAATTGCAGGTTAAAAATAAATAATGCTCATAACGATCGCAATGAAATTAATTGACCATAGCTGAAAGAATGGCTACTTCTCAAGCAGATGCATCAAGGAGATTTAGGCTTGAGTCTACACTGCAGCATTTACAAAGCTCAGAGATGGAGATGACAGAATCACTTACCCAGAACACTGAGGGGGATAATGGAACAATTATGAGTCACCACCATGCAAAGTTTTTTTGATTATGACCAATTTTATTTTACAACTGTATTGTTGGGCACTTTATGGCAATATGTAGTTTATCCAATGTTTATTTTTGCATATTTTTATTTCCCAAAAAAACAATAATTTTATACACAACATCTTTCCAATAGTAGTCAACTTAAGAGATGATTTATACTGTAGCCTCAAGGATGCAAAAACAATGAAGCAAATCTCAATGATGGGTACGTTCTTATTTGTCACCACCATGACTAACAAAAAGCTTGAAATTTGTCCCTTTGAAAAGTCTTTAAAGCAAAAGAAAGCAGCTTGGGAAAAGTTCAATTTCAAACATTTAATATACCATTTAAGTAAAAAAAAAAAACTTTAAACATTTTAAGTTGTAGGCTTCATGTAGTTCATACTTATTTGCTCTTTTAGGCATTCCTATAAATCATAAGAAATTAAAAAAAATCATTTTTGGTATATGATTACTAATGGTTCTCAAAATAACCATATGGAAGTTATACTGTTTGGAGAATGGTGACTTGATATATGTGGTGCATTTAGCACACCCAGAGTTCTAGTTTTTTTCTGTACTAAACATCACATTCTGTACTAATCATCCAGTGGGTGGATTTGTTCAGGGACTTCAACAAGGTTCTCATCTGAGAAATGAAATAACACAGACAATAAACTTAGAGGTTTATCCTATCAAAGAGGTAATCATTTGTGATTGCAACCTTTTAAGATAAAATATTGTATATTTTAAATTACTTCATTAACTAAAGTATGATTTGACAAAACCATAGCTTTCTGGATATAAAGCATCCAGGTAACATTACTGTTCAGTACCATGTTTTATTTGTTTATTTTTGGTATGTTTGCATAATGCATCCAGAGCTACAGATTTTCCACAGTGCTTTTCTGCCTCATTCAAGTATAATAAAAGTAGAAATCTATAGACGCTCTAAGGTTAAACAAACTGTACATTATATAAAAATTAACTTAATTTACAGTCAAAAAGTATTGGCAATGCCCTTTATAAATCCTAGCAAAGATTCATCACAAAGGATATTATAATCCACATATGTGGTCATAACCATACAAATGCCATTTTGATTGATGTGATACAGAACTGAGTATTTGTTAAATGTACACATATAGAATCAGCATCTTGCTCTATATACATTTATTTTAAAGTGACAGTATTGTCAATATTAATCTAAGGTTCAGGTTTTCTTACTGCATATTTATTGTTGCTGAGGCAGTTATGATACAATAATGCAATATCCATAATTATTTTAAATAAACAAAAACATTTATCCTGCCAACAATAGAAAGAATATTTTTATCTAAAAATCACACAGAACATTGCTACATACAGTTTTACAAATACTGAAAAACATGACCTTAAGGCATCTGCTAGGAAGGCAGATGTGCATTTATTTATATGAACTAAATTATTCATGAAAGAATATTGCACAAAATCATATTCAAAATAAAATATGCTTCTTTCTATATGCACATAATTCATTATCTTGATCAAATCAAAATGTTTAATGGTTTCTCAAAATAATTTTGCATCTTAAATAAGCTTTAAGGAACAGACACTAACAATGTTTGACAAAGTTTGTAGAAACTACTTCCTGTATTCAGAAGTGATTTGGGGGCATTAGATTGGGATATTCATTTAACAACCTTAAATTTATATTCTGATTGCAAATATCAACTCATAATCAGGGTCTTTTATGCTAAACAAAATGAAATTCATATTAGAAAATTTATTAATGAAAATAATATTTTCTTGAAAATTCAGCTTTTCTAGAAGACAGTGAAGGTTTACTGATTATGAGAATAATCAGGGTTTGTTTCCTCTTGTCCGGTAGTCTGCTTCACCTTAGTTAAGAAACAACTAATTCATTAGCATTCCTGGATTCTATTATTAGGATATTAGCATAGACTCCTAACAACAGCACTGTCAAATGCAATTTTAATTTTAAAGGGGCAAGGGAGGGAACTGTTCTAGAAAATGCTGGTATCAAGAAAACACAGTAAAATTGAATTCCCATCACAGGCATCCACACCTTCACCCAATCTTCAACTGAGTAAAGTGGCCCTATGTATGGCAAAGGAGCAACATCCCATCAGGGAGAGCCCTTTGCTGCCTGATTATATAAATGAGCACAGTGGGAGAGAGATCAGATAAACAAAAAACACTTAGCTTTTAAGAGTCTCTGAATCTGTCCTTAATTTAAAGTAGATATCTTGATAGCAGCTTCATTATACTTAGTACAATAATAAAGTTAATGAAATTAGAAATAGTACTATGGTTCTATACTTACAGCATTTTAGATTAAGCAGCTTTTAAAACTTTTTTTTTTGGTGTTAGAATTTTGGACTAAATTTCTAAGCAAAATATTATTATTATTGTTATTATTAATTACCATTATTATTATTAGCAACAGAGATTTAAATTCAATTTCCTTTTGGTCAGCTCCTGCAGAGGAGGGACATTGTCAATTCTTTTATTGCCCAACACCCTCAGTTACCATACCTTGCATATAACTGGTACAAAGAATCATTAAGTATTTTTTAAATGGATAAGTTATTAACTTTTAATCAGAAAAACAACCATGCCATTATCTCGGTGCCTTTCTAAAATATACTGAAGTAAATAACCATAAAAATATACAACTTAACACTTACACAACCAAAAAATAGCTCCTAATTTCATCCTCTCCTCTTCCATCCCCCTGAAATGCTATGGATGCTGTATCTGGGCAAAAGGACAAAAGCTAGAGCAGTTTCATGGAGAGTCATAACTGCTTGGAGGCCACATAAAAGACTACGTGCCAGAGTGAAGTCTTAGTCATTTAGACAATTCTGTTGTAGAACAGGTGTTGCTTATTTGAAAAAAAAAAAAAAAATGTTTAGACAGCAGGGGATTTACACATATTTGGCTTACATATGATAGAAAATATAAACATGGTTGAAAATAATACTTTTATATCAGAACTCACCTTATTTTTACTTCATTCTCCCTATGTCCACAGTAATACTGGGAGGTCTTTAAGAACAGAATTTGAATACTCAAAATTTTAATGGTTCGAAATTCCAGTACTTGCTGCTAGTCTTTTGGATATTTTCCAAGAAAAACATGTAGACTTTTTGTTTTCTTTTTAACATGGACTATAAAAATCTGATTTTGTATGTTAAAATAAGGCACAAATAGACTTTAAAATACGTTGACATAAATTGTGAGTGGCTAAATTTCTCCAAAACACAGTAGTGAAATATCTTTTGAGATGACTAAAACACAGAAAAAGGATTTACATTTCTGAGACTATGTTTAATAAACAAATGGACTAAAGCCTAAATTTTGCCTATGCTATAGTCACATTTATTTCATTCTTCACACTACAAATTCTGATGCAAACCACCAAAAAATAAAACAAAAAAAAAAACCCTCATTCTAATAATCATTTTAAAAGGCTACCTTAAATTCTTTTTGAAACTTATGAAGGAATCCTTCCCAAGCAAAGTGACCATTTTTCCTTCTCATTTAAAACAGGTTTTCTAATATACGGGCTTCTTTTATTATGTACTTTAAGTAAAATGGAATTTTACAATGAGTATATAGAGGCAAAATTTGACAATAACCTTGAGTCTTACTTTTGTGTTAAAAAATAAGGATTAAATACTTTTTCCTTTAATATATACAGTATGTCTTTATAAGAAAAACATTATTTGTCCTTTTTTATAAGCATGAATGAATGACTTTTTCAAATAAAATATATCTGTTTAGATTTTGGAATGTAGTTTTCGAAAAACAAAACAAAACCTAAGTCAATTTCTTTAAGACTGACTTGAGTAAATATTGCTTAAGCAATGTTTTAAATAAAACAACTTCCATGACTGTTGAAAAATAATCATTATTGGAGATATATAGAGTATATATACTGAACATGCTAATAGCAAATTAAACATAATGACTTTTTTTCTTACCATGCCTGTTAATCTAGCCTATCATGAAGCAACCATGCATGATTCCTTTTCAGATGAATTTCACAGCTCAACAGTGATTTTGAGGGAGAGACAAATCTCCCATGCAGAAGAATTCTAAATAATTTACATAGATACTCTTCCCTAAAAAAGAAGAAATATAAGCCCCTACTCCATGAGTTTGGGTTATACATAGTTATTTCCATCCAGAGACCACAATATGACAAAGAAGGGGAAATGAATGCACAGGGGAAAACTTGACCAACACTACCTCAGTTAGGTTATCAAAGTTAGTATCAACACACACATATTGATTGTATGTGCCCTTGATGTGATGTGATGAAAAGGACTCTTATATAACCTCCCTCTCCTAACCCCATAATCCCAGGGTAATTATAAGAAAAATACCAGAAAAATTGCAATAGAGAGATATCCTATAATATACCCAAATAGCACATTTCACAACTGTCAAGGTCATCAAAAAGGAAAGCATGAGAAACTTCATAACCAAGAGGGAATCTAAGGAAACAAGACAAATGTAATGGTGTCCTGAGTGGGAGGATCCTGGGACAGAAAAATGATATTAGGGAAAAATTCAGAGAATCTGAATAAAGCATGGACTATCAATATTGATTCATTAATCATGGTGAATCTACCATATTAAATGTAAGATAATAATAGGAGAAATTGTACACAGGAATATATGGAAACTCTCTTTGCTTTCTTCATAATTTTTCAATAATTCTATAACTGCTAAAATAGGAAGTAAATTTAAAATGATGTGTTTTGATAGAGAATTAGGGAAAAGAGAAAGGAACATTTTTTATCAAGATAGTTTCTGTTGCATTTGGCTTACTGGGGTGGATTCCTATATAGCAAAGGCATACAGATATTATAAAATGCTTAAAGTGTCACTTGTAAACAAAAGTCATTCATTTCACATTGTAATTCAGCACTTCATATATTTCACTGAGTGAACAGTAAATTTGTACCTTTATATTTCTTGGAAAACATGGCTGCAGTGTCTATAAAAGAGCTTTTTACTTTGAAAAAAAATGAATTCTGTCCTTAATTCAATGAATAGAAAAAGGCATTATTGCTGTACAGAACCCTTATAAGTTATCTTTCAAAATTTACCAGTAATTCCATAAATTAATTATGCTTATTATAGGCTTACAATTAAGGCAATTAGTGGGTCAACAGTTTCAGCAGTTTTAGGCTAGTTGTGACAAGCTTTGATATCGTCATCATTTCATGCTCAACCAGGTTAATATAGCAGTTACTTGTTATGTAAAAGGGTCTCATATGCATAGTTTAAATTAAATGAATGGCATTAAGCACCAAATACTGGGAAATCATATGTTCAACAGCTATTTTCATCAGAAATACTAAATAGTATCTGATTTCAGAGCACAGTAGAATAATTAGCTTTACATTTAAAAATCAGTGAATAATATACCCACAAGATGAATGAGTGGGAGAAATGTATATTCCAAGTGAAAAATAACTGTTAAAACAGTAGTAAGAGTTGCCATTCCTACAAAGAACTCTGCTTACTATATGGATTATGTAGAATCCTACATTTTCATAGAAGCTTGCAAGCATCTCCTAACTGTTGATTAAGCTTGTTTTCCACTTGTGTTTTCTTCAGAAATGTTTAAGTCCTGTTGGAAGGAAGGTGTTAAGTGACATAATGACACTACTTCATGAAGCAGTCCACTATCTTCTGAAGTCTCTGTGGTTTCTTGTCCTTCTTTCTCCCAGGGGACAAAAGTAGATGAACGTCGCCCAAGGCTGGGTATATGCAGGTCATCTGAAATCTGGCTTAGTGTTTCCTTTTGTTCTGTTTTTCCTTTATCAGTTTGGGAAACTTCAGACAAAGCCAGCTCTGGGAAATCCACTCCTGAATTGGAAGCTGGCTGTCCCACTACTGTAGGGCTACTCACATCATCAGCACTGAGGTGTTTTTCACTGTTTTCCTCTTTCAGCATAAACAGGGAATCTGCCAAACCACCAGAGGAAACCCGCTTCCTGGGAGATGGAGGGAGGTGTCTGCCATGCAGGGCACTATCATCTTGCCCAAGATGCCACTCTGTTTGATCACCAGAACCAGTGCAAAGTAGGGCCAGATTATTCTCACTAGGAGCATTGGATTTATTCTGAAAGAAGAAACACCAAATGCAGAAATCTTTGAAAAAATTAAAGCATGACTTAAGTAACAATATTTTTATATTTAAAAATCAGTATTAATATCTTTCAAGGCTGGGAACTTGCAGTTGCTCTCAGAGGAAATACAGTATTACTACTCAATTTGAACACCTGCAAATGGCTCTGTTAACAGTAATAAAATGAGACCGATGTTGGTTTCCATGTCCTTGCAACTATCATCTATAGAATTCATAGCAGATTGGAAGTGTTGGTAAGTGTGTGGAGAAATGTGAATTCTGGCACACTGTTAGAAGGAATGTTAACTGGCGCAGCCACTACAGAAACCAGTTCCTCAGAAAATTAATAACAGAACTATCATATGATCCAGCTAATCTACTTCTGTGTATATAACCAAAGGATATGAAATCAGTATCAAAAAGATGACAGCACCCTCATGTTCATTGCAGCATTCTTTATAATAGTCAAAAAATGGAGAGAACCTAAATACCCACTGACAGATGAGTAGATAAAGAAAATGTGGCATATAGATATAGAATGTAATATTATTTAGCAGTAAAAAGGAAATACTGATATTTGTGACAAGATTCATGAACCTGGAAGGTATTATGCTATGTCTGAAATAAACAAGATACCTATAGACAAACACACCATCTGATCTCACTTATATATAGAATCTAAAATAGATTCATAGAAATAAAGTAGAATGATTGTTATTGGGGGCCTGGAGAAGGGGAGAGTTGGGGAAAGAGAAAATGGAGAAATGTTAGTTAAAGGGTACAAAGTTTCAATTATGTAATAATAAATTCTGGAAATCTAATATACAGAATGGTGATACAGTTGATAATACTGTATTGTATACTTGAAATTTACTAAAATGAGAGCTCTTAAGTGCTCTTACCTTAACAAAATAAAAAGGAAAAGAATATGATAACTATATGGTGATGAAGTATATAAATTAGTCTGACTGTGGTAATCATCTCATAATATATAGGTATATGATAGCATCAAGTTGTGCCCCTTAATTATATATATATATTTTGTCAATTATATTTCAATAAAGCTGAAAAATAAAGAGGATTTGTCTTTTTTTAAAAAAGCAAAAAATAATTTAAAAAAGTAGCCTAAGTATATAATCAGCACCAGGTTCTGGAATTACTTACAATCAAAATAGGGCTGCCATTATTCATATTTCTATCTGTCATGTGATTAAAAGATTTAGTTCAAGTCTGTTTAAAGCATTATTCATTTGTGAAGGAATAAAATGGGAAAATTAATTTAATATATTTATTAAATTTTTTGAAGATCCAGAAAATATAGGAAAACCATTGGAATATATCATGTTTTTTTTTTTTTTTTTTTTTTTTTTCAAGGGCCTTCATCATAAATGGATGTTGGACTTTGTCGAATGCTTTCTCAGCATCTATTGATATGATCGTATGGTTTTTGTTTTTCTTGTTTAAAAAATTTTCCAGAAAAAACAACTATAAATTTACACTGCAAGAAAATATAACTTCACAAAAGAATTTCAGTTAATCACAATACCCACTAAAACTGAATAAATAAAAGGAAAAATATTGGAATTCTGTTATTAGATATAATTCTTAAGGATTAAGTATTATCACTTTGAGGTTTTGATACTTATTAAATGCCCTACCAACCAAGGGTGTAAGAGCAGGCAATCACAGCAAGGGTAAGAATGACCTCATTGCATTAAATGTTTTCATTTTATTTTATAAGATAAAAATCAACTAACCGTAGGCTTGTAATCTATATCATCCATTGATCTAAAGAAATCCAAGCTCTTTGCTGCTGCCAGCTTTCCCTGATCTGAGCTATGTGTGCTCAATGTATCAAGGATCTCTCCTAATAAGTCCATTTCACCTGAGTAAGGAGTCTTTACTTTTGTTTCAACAGAGTCATCACTTTCATAAAAATAAGTAGAAGTTTCTTCACCATCTTCAGAAGACAACCTGAAGAAAAATAGTAGTTATATAGCCACAAATGCTGCATATAAGCAACCTGTCACCACTTACATTTAATTAATAAGAGTCATATCCAAAGTGATATTTCAGTGGAACAATGACAAAATTAATAATTGGTTCATGGACAAATTCTTCATAGTAATATATCCTGTTTCAAATACTGTAAATTCAGAGCTTTGTTAAGAATAAACAAAACAGTTTTTGGTATGCAATCAATCTGGAAGCAGAAGCAGAGCTTTTCACAGCCTAAATTTGTGTGATTTGGGACATTATCCTTATAAGATAGAATACTTGAAAAGTTTGCTATAGCCCAAGTTCAGTATTTTCAGATGGTTTTCCTTTTATTTTAAAAAATAATGCATACTCCTTTATATAGACAAAAGTAGAGAAAAGAATGCCCATTTTGTCATAAAATTGCTGAAAAGTTAAATGTATACTATTAGTCCATTTACTGTACTTAACAATTATTTTTTAACTGTATTTTTTTTTTGATATCACTATAAACTCAAGTCCCTCCCCATCTTCCTGATTCCACTGGTTTCAACTGATTATTATCACTGCTCCTGATATTTAACCTGTCCCTCTCCAGTAAGAGGGTAGGAGTCTAATCTAGGGTGGGTTCTTTAATATTATTCCAGATATTTTTGGACTATTTCAGGTTATTTTTTGCTTTCCCTCTATGATACTCTAATGAGCATCGATTGCTTTTGCAAATATTGCACAGGAACAAAATCTATATCTGAGTGTGCACACTCTTTGAAAATAGTTTTTGTAACCTAAAACTTCTACTATTAAGCCACACTGTTTATATGACATCAAAATCCATTACTTACTTGCTTGCTCTTTCAATGGCGTCGTCATCATCATCATCATATAGAACACCATCCAGACTCTTAAGCGGTTTTTTTAAGCGAGCCTAGGGAGAGGAATTGACAACAAATTGGCACTGGCAGTTTAAGTTTTCTTTATAAATTATAAAAGGACAATTTGATTTAATAAGGAACAATTTTAAAAGAAATACGCATTCAAGAAAGAAGGGGAAGTAGTCAGGTAATATTTATCTCAACACTTACTAGTGCCTCATATTAAAAACAAATCACTGGATATATACAAACAATGGTCCAATCACACACTTTCAGTTCCTGATTTAGGGATACTCGACTTAAAACCAATCAAATGTCCATGCTTATCCACATATACCCCAAAATCTCCAATTTCAGTAATAATCAATATTTGCCAACCATGTTTCTCTTATACCCCACCTACACTATCCCTCACCCCTAAATTTTTATTTTTATTTATTTGTTTGTTTGTTTATTTATATAAGAACCGGGGTACAGGCCAGAGGCGTGGGAGGGTGAGAGGATTCACCAGAGACAGAGAGGGGAACAGAACAGGCAGACTGACGAAATACACTGGTGAGGGGAGCAGCGGATGAGACAGGAGAGGTCTGCTTGCCATGTGGGTTGCTCTGAGGCAGGTGGGGATCGAACCAGCACTGCAGAGGCTGTGTATAGCCTCACAGCGCACCCTAAATTTTTAAAGGAGTGCTTTCTCAAATCTTAATGACCATATAAATACAAATGTAGAGTCTCATTCAAAAGTGGTTCTGCAGCTGGAACTGAGTTTCTGTATTTCTAACAAGCTCTTAGGTGAGGTTAATGCTGGCGGTCACACACTGAATAGCAAGGTTTTGAAGGAAGTCTTAGACAAACTATCATCTCTCACCTGTAAGTACTTTATTATGTATCTTTATCAAACACATTTTTTAATACAACCAAAATATCATCATAGCTAACAAATCAACAACTATTTTTTAGTTTCTTCTGTGCTCAGGCCATATTCACATGCCGCTATTACCCCAAATATATTTCAGTTCACTTATTTGGACCAGTATCCCAACAAGGTTAACACTGCATTGGGTTGGTATTTCTCTCAAACCTCTTTCAGAGGATTGTGAATTCCACCTTTCCCTTCTCATATGATGGTACTGTCCTTTAAATGTTACATTTTTCTCATTTCCTATAAACTGGCAGTTATATCTGGAGCTTGGGTAGATTCTATTTCTGTTTTTTTCTCAGTTTAGGGCAAGGAAATAGTCTGGGTGTGTGTTTTTTATTGTATCACATTAGGAGGTATATAACATTTAGATGTCTCACTTTTGGTGGTATTAAGAGTGGTTCATGTCCCCACGTACGGTGGCTGATCTATCCTTTATAAATTTCCTTATCACTCCTTCACGGTTTAGCATCCTATTATAATCATTGGGTATTCTTTTCAATCGGGGCTTCAACTGTATCCTTTTCAAAAGCATCCCTTTTATATTTATTTGTTAGCATTCTTTGAAGAATTTTTATTAATTTATTTATCTATCCTGATATGTGTACAGGAAAGACAGGACAAATCCTTCATTCTTTTCAGTTTATTAAACAATTTCAGAATAATAAGCTAATGTCCTATCTCTGAAGATGAGCCATGAGAGATTTTTATCTTTCTTCATTTGTATGTATTTGATGTGGCTCAACTTACCACTGTGTTTCTTTTTGATGTTCAATCTGTATCTCTTTGAAATTTACACTGTGATTATGTTTTTAAAACAACTCTTGTATTTTAGAATTGTATTGTGAAATATCTGCACATTAAATGATGTGCTGGTGGGTATTCACTACAAAAATATCCTTTGGTGGAGAGGCATAGGCAGAGCCGGCACTGAATAAGATTGGCCAGGAGTTGACAATTTTTGAAGCTGTATGAAAGGTACCCAGGAATTCTTCTTTATCTTCACTTTTGCATATTTGAATAATATTAAGTGTCTTTACACAATAAAGATATGATTTTTTAAGTTTTTTTTTTTTTTTTTAGTTTCTCCAAGGGAGAAGGGGAGAAAGTGAATCCAGTAAAAGGGGTCAACTGTATGGTGTGGATGGAAAGTCAACTTTTGGTGGTGACACAGTAACACACATAGATGCCACATTATAATGCTGTACACCTGAAACTTATATAATGTTATAAACTGTCAATTTAAAAATCCCATCTTTTTATTTTTTTAAGGATTTATTTATTTATGCATACAAGAACTGGGTACAGGCCAGAGGATTCACCAGAGACAGAGCAGGGAGCTGAACAGGCAGAGAGACCAAAAACACTGCTGAAGGGAGCAGCAGGGTGCAGCGGGTGAGAGAGGAGAGGTCTGCCACGCCATGTGGGTATCTCCCTGGCAGGCCAGGAATTGAACCCATGCTGCAGAGGTTGTGGACTGCTTCACAGCGCTGTACTCAACCCCCTGCACCACCCCAGAGCAGCCCAAAAGCCCCATCTTTTATTAGTGGTGGCACTATCAAGTTGGTTCTTGTGTCCTTTAGTTATGACTTCAGAAGATTTTAGTAAGTTCCTTGGTTTTGGCACAATATGATACTTAATATAAATTAAAACTTTTTTTTTTTTTTTTGCCTTGGAATCATTCACTTTTTCTAAAAGCCTTGGTTTCTTTAAATGGGAAATGGTATCAGAAAGACATTGGCTGGGTGCTATCATCTTTTTGGATGGGTAGCAGCAAACCTGAATTTGGAGACTTCAACTATAACAGTTAGAGGGAAATCTGTCTTCTGTACCTGATCTTCAATCAAGATAACCATTTTCTTTTATTGCAGTTATGAAAAGCAAGAAAATTTCTGGAACCTATAGGAACTGATCCCTACTATTCTAACTTCTCATTGTGTGGTCATGGCAGAAAGGAAGGAATGAGTTCAGAAATATGTTCTTGTAACCCCTGCTTGCAATGCTTCCAGAGTTTCTCCATAAATTTTGTCATTAACAAATGACCAAAGTACATTAAAAAATGTATTCAAATTACATGATTTTTTAAGATCTCAAAAAAAGAAAACTTAAGGTCAGGAGAAAAATAATTACAGTTTAACCAACATTTAAAATAGAGGAAAATAGGGCCTCCCTGGTGGTGCAAGGGGTTAAGCACAGCAGTATGAAGCAATCTGAAGCCTCTGCAGCATGAGTTCAATCCCCGGCCGGCCAGGGAGCAACCCACTTGGCATAGAAGACCTTTCCTGTCTCGCCCGCTGCTTCCCTCAGCGGTGTATTTCACTCAGTCTGCCTGTTCTGCTCCCTGCTCTGTCTCTGGTGAATCCTCTCACCCCCCACATCTCTGGCCTGTACCTCAGTTCTTGTATGCATAAATAAATAAATCTTTAAAAAAATAGAGGAAAATAGCACACTAACCTAGACACAACTGAAACATAAATGACTATAAGAGAAAAAAAATCTCAAAACATGTAATAAAAATTAAAATATGTATGCATTTTTGTATATATATGTACATATATTTGGGGAAGGGATGAACATCCTTTTTATTTTTCTAACTATAAAGATAATAAACAGAAGCAAATTCCAGTACAATGAATATTGTAAGATTCAAAGAAACATATTATTCTATATAAGATCTGGTTAGAAATCTCACAGTAGTAAGTATGCAACAGGAAAGTCTCTAAGGGTTACTAAACACTTTGATCATAAATTATTATCCAGAACTCCCTGAAATAAGCACCACGACAGTCATAATATGGCCTGTATTTGAGAACAGACACTTTGTAAAAAAGAGTAATTATGTAACATATTAAGGGAGCTAGAAGTAGTCAGCATGGTGAAAAAATTGAGAGAAAGAAAAAAAAGTTGATTTGGGGGGGGGAGGGAGAAAAAAGAACCCTATAAATATTTTTTCAGAGTTCTGCTGATGTAGCACAGTGCATGTAACTGTGAAGTTACTTTAGGTCCTGAGTAAGCCTCCCACTGCCTGTACATCCAAAGTGTGCTGTTATTTAAACTTTTCTCTTCTCTGTATTTTGAAGTGGGCATACTTTTTCATAATCTTTAATGAGAAAGTGGGAAGGGCCTTTTCTTTCTCATCAGAGTACTAATAACTGTCAATCATGATGCTGTTTTTGCACCTCCAAAGTTTAGGCTGTCTGACTGTAAGGAAATCTGGGTGAACATAACAGTTAACACATTTTTAATTATAAGATTCAAGCCCTTCAAGTTCTGATATTTTAAAACATAATTAACATTTAAGACACCAAGGGTATTTATAATAATTAATATGGATAACACTATCCATATTTTAGTCCTTAGTTTCACACTGATTTTTGTAATCTTAAGCAAAATCCTTTGGCATGTGATTTGTTTAATGGAAATGAACACTAGTAATCAACTCTAATTTGGAGATTAATAAAATGCATTTAAGTAATAATTTATTTAAATAAACAATGCTCTCAGAAAAAAAGGCAAATATTCTTTTTCTGCCAAATGAAATGCAACTATTTCAACTACCAAAACATTTTGCATGAACAAAAAAATACAACTACAGTTAATCAAAAGGATGTTTCTCTATTCTTCAAGTCATCATCATACAATTTTATCTTTAAAGCCTAAATATACTTTTGTCAGACTATGCCTCAATGTTACTTCATTATCTGCTGATTTTATGCCTTTGATTGATGTAAACCTTTAATTTCTTTCAAGATAAAGTTCAAACTTTTTAGTACGAAGAGACTCCCATCCAAACATGATTGAGAATCATTGTTTTGCTTTGATTTCTTGTTCTTTAGTTCGTGTTCAAGAGGCTACCACTCACTACGTTAGCCAGAGCAGGTTAATTTCCATAGAGATTAGTTTTCCCCTTGCACAGAAGATGTCCTTTGTCAGCGTTTCCCTTCTCTTTCTTCTTTACTGAAAAAATCTTACTAATATTTCAACAATTGACTCAAATATAACCCCTGCAGTCTTCTCTTTACATGGTAAGTGGTTTACTGTGTCACCACAAATTTGGCAAATATCTGGCCAATGCACTTTTAATCTGCTCTCATCTCTGTTCTGAGTTCTCTATGTAAGTGGGATCCACATCTCCTG